GTTTTACACGTTCCTTTCGTTGCTTCCGCTAAAGTCGATTCTCTTCAATTCCTCTGGAAGGCTGCACAACCTAATTTTATCCATCAAGAATCGACGAACAACGATGTCAGGTACGCAACCTTTTTCTTATTCAATCTATCTTGTTGAATCTAGTGGTTTGCACGATCTAGGTTATTATTGAAGAAAAGGAGATTTTGGATTCAATAAAAATAACAGGAATTGAATTCCTAATATAAACCATTTTCATGAAATTGATTGATCAAGAAGAAGAGAGAGAGAGAGAAGTTACCTCGATCCAATTGCCTCGAATGACCGCCATGGAAAAGATTTGCACTGAGTCTCGGAATTGAAATGCCTTTGCGTTTCGAAGAACAGATTATAATCATACAGAGAAGAATGTTATCTTCCTATTTCCAACTGAAGCATATTTATTTGTTTATTTTTAAGTTATTTCTTTTATTAAAATAAATTGTTCATCGTTAGAAATATATTTTCTCACTTAAAATAAAAATTAGTTTCGTTTAAAACGTTTTAGTTTTCTCCTTAACCATAAAAATATCTTTTGTTAATTGATTTTTCCAAATATTTCAAATACTACTAAACAATATTTTTCAATAAATTATTTTATAAAAATAAAAGAAGCCTTAAAATAATTTATATAAAATACAACGTTAATAATAAAGTGGTGGTAACATTATTTTACTTATATCAAAATTGATTAAATTTCCCCTTTTCACTTGAATCAAATATTTTTTTTTAATTTTTTTTTTCTATTTGCATCAATATTTTGTTGCATTCAAATCAAATTGGTACTTGATTGCAAGGTTTTCAAAAATTTAAATATTTAATTATAATATTTTTTTTTTCTATTCAAACAGTAAAATAGAAAAAAAATTAAAAAATTGCGACATGAAATGTATAATTAATCTTGGAGTATATATTAAGGTAGAGTATAAATAATGAATCCTTAGACGTACCGCTTTAAATAGTCATTAATAATATAACACAATTTCCCTACCATATTTACACTTCATAAATCAGCCTTGTTATTTATTTATTTTTTCTGTATTAACTAGAGGTCTCGAATTCAAGCCTTGAATATGAATTCCGTTTAAACCCGCAGGAGAGACCTTCTTTGTGAGTCTATCCATTGTGAATCCGAATTTAATTGGGCCAGTGGGCTCAGACACCGAATGATTAAAACTAATAATATTATTGTTAGATGAAAATATATTAGTCCCATAAAATATATTTCATTTTAAATCAAATATACTTTCTTATTTTTTTTTTCTCTATTTGTATGAGTACTTTGTTGCTTGTGAATTAATGTGACACCTAATTGCAACATTTTTAATAGTTTTGAGATTTATTTATAAACTTTTTGTGTTTTAGATATCAAATAAAAAAGTTTAAAAGCTCACACACACACCACATATATAATTAACCTTAAAATACACCATTAAAATATAGCTTAAAATAATGAATCATTAATAACGCAACGCAACTATTCCCTACCGCCATTAGACTTCATAAATCAAACTCATTATTTTTGTTTTATTATCTTTGGCATTAGCAAGAAAATAATATTTCCCATACACTCCACACTCATTTTTTATGTTTTCTTATCTTTGGGCATTTAGGCCACCGTAATATTATATATTCTATATATAATATATTCTCTACTGTATACATCGGTCCCTCAGTGTTTCCTACGATCGTTTTCTTTCCATGTTGGACGTGCGCAGTTCCCATTCCTTCTCTACACGACTACAATTCCATCCATTTACAGGCCCTTCGCACGGGACCAATGTCTTATTGTGTCACGCTTGGTCAATACTTGTTATCTTCCTACTGACTTCGAGAGAGTCATCGTGTTTTTTTTCATAGTGTTTTTCAATATAGTCTTTTTTAAGGAGTTTTTAAGTCATTTTTATATCTTCTTTAGTTTTTTTTACATTTATTACATGTTTTTACTTTAACCAGCTTCCCTTGACCCATACCTCACTTCTGCCTTTCTTGAGACACCATTTAGTAGGGGTTCTTCGCACAGCCAGGCATCCAATCACAGCACGTCTTACCAGCCCCAGGCCCGTGCTTCCACGCACAGCCCCGCTCCGTGCCACCATAGGAGCCTAATTAAGTTAGTTGTCCACTTTTCCCACCATTTTCTGGTCACTTTGGATAACTTCCTCACAGCCACTCAGTCCTTAGCTATGCACTGGACAGTCGTGATTGAGAGAAATTAGGCTTGATTGAGGATTTATTCCTTACAAGTTGGACTTTATCCCTACTATGTGGATTTTCACTTCCAGAAGTCCTATCATCGGGATAGCATCTTCCCATATCACTCAGACTTCCATCCCACACATTACACTACATCTCCACTCTACATCTCTTCTTTCTCTCCATTATTTATGCTTGTATCCCTGTCTCGTCTTAGAGTTAGGTTACTCACAGACGTCTCGCGATATTAAATAAGACATTGTGAAGCAGTTCTAATTGATAGCTGCACTTTGCAAAGTCTTTCTATTTTCTCTGAATAGAACATTGTGAGGCAGTTCTGATCAATAACTTATTTTCACAAGTTCATTACATTTTCGCTGTAAATAGAATTTTGAGTTTTTTTTAAAAGTCAAATTTTTTTTAGAAAACCCAATTCACCCCCCTGTTGAGTTGTGTCATACATATACGAGACCCATACTTCTAGGCAGAGTTTCTCCCCTGGATTGATTTATTTCATTAATCACTATCGGGAGAAGGGTTTTGATACGAAAAAGGTAATAAATTACATGAGAATAATAACTTGATGCGTAAGCTATATGGTTTGACTCATGGGGTTTTTATAAGTTAACGATTTTAGGTTATGAATTCATAAACAACCATAAAACTTAATGATTTAATTCATGTTTAATTGTGCTATTGGAAGATAGGTAATTAGACCGGGTTAAAATTTAGTGGTTCAGAGTTGTTTCCCCTACTTTGATATTAATTTGCATAACTATGAAATTGGGAATAAGGATTCAAATGGATCAACCCCTAGTAAGTTTTTATCTTTCTTCATTTTTTTCAACTCAAATTTTATTTAACTTGACCTTATTTATTTTACTCACTTAATTACTACAACAATTCTCTCAATCATCGTTTAAATAATAACAAGATAACATAATTTTGGTATTTGGATTACAATCCTCGTGGGAACGATATCTCACTCATCATGTATTACTTGTAGCGATTCGTACACTTGCGAAATAAGCTGTCAGAAAAAAACACACAAAATCAATGAACCAAACCAAACTAATGAAATTAAGGAAAAAATTTGTCTAGATTCGTTTCATGTCTCCACCTATAGATCAAACCAATGACATTAACACTTTGTTTGGATGAAGGGAGGGAGGGATCATTAAAGTAAGTAAGGTATAGTAAAGTATAGTACGTGAAAGTATGGTAAATGTCTTTTTTGTATTTATGGGAAAGGTATGATAAATAAAGGTTTAATAATATTGTTGTGTTTGGTTTAATGGTAGAGAAATGTATTGTTAAATATAAATATTACGAAAATACCATTGTCATGGAAGATTTTAAATATAATTATGGATAATTTTGTAAATTAAAATTTTTAACTATGTTTACACCCTAATTCAGAGTGTCGAAGATTGGAGTGTTTAGAAAGATTTTCAACCCCTCAAATAACTTCCATAATCTACCTTACTTTACTCTCCAAACATATTAAATAACTTCCATAATCTGTAAGAATTTTTTAAAAAGTGTTAGCCATTTTATCTTTTTTTTTTTTTGTGTATGGTCAAAAATACCTTTGGACAAGGCATTAGACAGGATAAGATATCAATTAGTAGATTAATGGTAAGCAAGGTGCACATCACAATGAATTATTCCATATTTAATGATTATTATTTTAATTTGCTTGACGTCTGGAATGATTATTTTCATGGCCAATGAATGAATAAATTAATAAAAGAGTGCTCTTATCACCAGTTGAAACCGGTGCTACTAATTTGTGTTCTTAAGAATATAAAACTTGCATTTGGTGGATTTTCCTCTTGTCGTTTCCTTAATTTTTTTGTTCTTGGTTGTCCGCTTTCCTTAATTTTTTGTTCTTGGAGTATGAAAGTAAATCCTTCTAAAATTTCAACTGAAATATAGATCCACCTTTCTATTAAATTATTTATTGTAGATGTATAAATTATTAAAGACTGTTTTCTCTTAATGACAAATATTAAATTTAAATAAAATATTTAAATTAAGCTTGTTCCTAAATTTGGAATTTTCCAAAGACATTGAAATGAAAATTTTTATTTTAAAAGAAATATAAGAGCACACTCTGTGAATTTTTAAATAACAAAACATGGATAACAAACATGGATATTAAAATAAATAAATGAGTTATTAAAATTCACAATTGAATTAAAATAAATGAGTTATTAAAATAAAATTTCTTTTTTTTATTTAATTAAAAGTTCTTGATATTTATTCATCTATTATTGAGTTTATTGCTTGTAGTTGTATCGAATCTCACAATTGCATGATCTTAGATTTTAGAAACCAAAAAGTTTAAAATTGGAATAAATTATAGTTTGAGTTAATAATTTTAAGTTAGACGTAACTTGAATTATTTTGAGGGTGTAATAAAGATTTCATCAAACTGATTGAGGGTGTAATAAAGATTTCATCAAACTGAGTGTGGTTATAATTAAAATACACTTTTGTATCTTGAAAAAGAACAATTGCTAATTTAGGAAATCTTCCCTTTTAAATCAGAAATTTCTATAAATTGAAATTAATTATCAAGCATAGATAGAGGAAGAGTGCTTAATTGCAAATTCAAGCGTAGATACAGGAACAGTTGCTATCTTTTTCCAATTGTTTATTAAAATATCAAATTTGAATTGCTTTACTTTATTACTTAATTTAGTTCATTTTATTTATTTATTTTAAGAATTTTATCCATCCATTTAGATAATATATAATTGCTTAAAGTTCGGTACTCAAAACGACCCTCGAGGGAACAATAATATTTTATTGATTCCTGACATAATACAATTGCGGATTTTACACAATAATTTTTCTTTAACATGATCACTATTAACTATCAGCAACTACTAGCTAACTTTTAACATTTTAGTTATTTATGGATAGCAGGGAGATTTTAGTTATTATCAGTAAGTGACAGGATTCTACTGTAAAGGTCTTACAGTTTGCTGAAATCCCTGCCGTTGAAGTACAAATAGACCTTTTTACCAGAAGCTGTGACCATAGGCGTTGCAGAAAACCCAACATAGTCCCTTTCTAACTTAGTTCTGCATATTTCAGCAACATACTTGAAGAGCTGGTGTTCTTGATTATATGGTTGATCCACATAGTCCTTAATTGGCATCCACTGAGGAAGAGAATATAAGAAAATTATCTTCTAACAAGATTAAAAGTTACAACTTCCTCATTGGTATTTCAAATAAAGAAAATTAAGATTCCGAACTTTCTTGGTTTGGATTGAGGCTTTAATCTTAAATTAAAAGCCATATTATTTCAAAGTTACAAGCAAGCAAATAGGATTTGGTTTCAAAGGGCATGTATATATAATATTTTTCATGGGTTAAGGTAGGAGTGTAAATAAGCCAAGCCAACTTACGAGCTGTTTGAGCATTGAGCCTCGGGCCGAGCTTGAACTGAAATTTTAAACTCAAGCCTCAAGTCGAGCCTCAAGTTGAGCTCAAGTTTAAAATTTTCAGGCTCGTTGAGTTTCGAGCCAAGTTTAAGCTGAACTAAATTCTATCGAGCCAAGCTTCGTATTTGACAGGTTCAAGCTCGCTCGGCTCATTTACACTCATAGGTGAAGGAACTAATGAAATAATATATGATTAGTAGATTATTTATTAAGAAATGGTACCTGGGCTGCTGCAACCTCAATGGTACCTGGGCTGCTGCAACCTCTGAATCTTGCTTCTGGATCGCAAAGGATATTGGTCGTAACAAGCAAACGAAAAATAAATCTGATTTGCTAAAGAATGATTGGTGACTTTGCCTGTGATCAATAAGCAATAAAAATGAGATCAAAGACAGATCAAAACTTTAAGAAGCACCATAACATGCTGCAATGGATTCTTGAATTAATAGACTTTCTTATGATGAAATTGCAACAAGACTTCTAAGATTTCTTTTATTGCATGAAATTTCACGAGGAAGGAGTTCATAGAGCATAAATAGCAAACCTGAATGCTAAAATTTCCACAAATTCAGCATCAATCTGGTAAGAAAACAAAAGAAAGATTTGAATGATTTTCTAGGTTTTATAATTGCCACAAATAGTTTAATGCAAACACTAAAAATATTATCGAAGTTATAACAAATTGGATTCCATAGGGCATAACACTCATATTTGTCTTGTTTTAAGTCTACAAGAAAGAATATTTCTTACTCCAGTTTCTTCTTTAACCTCCCGAACTGCAGCTTTACAGATATCCTCTCCCTGAAGAAGGAAAATTTCTGTTTATTAATGTAAAATATCATCTGAAAAGATAAAAAAACAGAGTCAAACTGCACTCGTATTCTCACCTCATTGACAACCCCAATTGGTAGCTTCCATAAACCTGTACCTTTAAATGCACCACCCTTCTCCTGAACCACAAGCACCTATAAAATGAAACAACTTGACTTCAAAGTTAGAAGTTGTAGCTAATGGGCTGTAATATCAAACACATAATATAGGGATTTTAATATAAGGGATTTTTAAAAAAAAAAAAAATCCAATCCTAGTTCCGAAAATAGAGATATTTCATTGCACCAAAACGCTATCTTCAACCAGCACTCAAAGCCAAAATTTAATGTGAAAAGAACCAGTAAAATAACTCTCTAATTATCAATTTACTTTATCATTTACTACAAAAGCTCCAATACCCACTCGATGTGTAGCATTTACTGGAAGAGTATCGGCGGTATTAGGTAGCCATCGCACCAACATCAAGTAATCTGATTCAGCATGATGATACCTAAATCCTTCCTGCAGAATAAACAGAACAGATTGTAAGAAGATTGATACGCCAATAAAATATTTTCTAATAGTTATTTCTTTTACGTTCCCCTCCCAGCCTTTGATGGTCATTTTTAACTTTCCCTCAATTTCTATTTGTGTAACAGTAAAGGGGGCCTAACTATAATACGGCAAAAACTACATCGGAATGTTGACATGAACCATCCAAGAGTAATAAAATCAATTTTTAAAGCCACATCATCATTTGACTCAGGTAAATTATTTTCTCTCTCCTCTTTATCTCTAATTTTCTACCCATTTGAGAAAACCTCAATCACACATCCCTCCCTGCCACCACCATTAATCCAATACTCCATTGCCAATAGATAAACCCATCAGACTTCTCCTCCTTTCAATCTTCTAATCAGTACACATCTAATCTAACAAATAATTTCATCAAATATGTTAACTACAAATTAAAAAGAAAAATTAGGAGTCACAAATAATTAGAATATCCCACTGTAGATTGATAAGGACTCAAAATCTATTTCCAAATTTAAATCTCCCCTCAATGACTCGCAACTTCTTTATTTCTTTGACCCCACTGTAGATTGAGAAGGACTCAAAATCCATTTCCAAATTTACATCCCTGGATGCAATGACTCGCAATATTACCAAATAACCCCACACCCAAAATAGGAATAAGCAAAACTAAAACTTTCATTATTTTGCGAGGTGAATCCTTTGAAATATTTTCCTTTGAAATATTTTCCACAATTTATTTTCCGTTGTTTGGTTGTTCAGCAAAATAACTTAACGGAAAATATCTTTATTTGATTGTTCAGCAAAATAAATCAATGAAAAATATTTTTATTGTTCAAAGGAAAATTAAAAAAAATTAAATCATTTTTAAGGAAAATAACTCTGTAGAATATTTTCCGACATTGACAATTCATTAATTATCATTAGCAACTACTACTAGTCACCATTCACCACTAGCCACCAACATCACCACTCTGCCACCGACAATTTTCATAATTTACCTTTTCTTTTGCATTCTTCTTATATATAAGAATAAAATTTGTAAAAATATGATATTTATATTATTATTAATATTTTTATAGGTCTTGATGTTAAATTTTAAACAATTTTAACTGTAATTTTTTCAAATTCCCAGACTCAATACAAACATTTTTTCTTCGGACAAAAAGATATTTTTTCGAAAAGCTATGTTATTTTCCCGAATACAAACAGAGGCCTAATATGCAAGCAAAAACATGCAGTTTAGCAGTATCTAATCCTCTTCTCAATCATCTCCCAAGAGATTTCTCATTCAAACTCAAGAAATTTGAATAATGAAACAATTAAGCCAAATTAGAATTGCATAAAATCTGTATTGGAAATCTTATATATTTAGTGGGCGACCCTATTTTCGGGTTGAGATTTCACCGCGAGTTTGAGCAATGATGTGGAGGTGGTTTTTTCAGAGGTTCTTAGGCGATCTTCCGAAGCTTTCTTTCTGGCTTGGAAAACACTATTTTTATAATGTAATCAAAACACTAATTTTATAATTATCAAGAAGAGTGCCCGTGAAGAGTCGAAGCAACATTTGGAAATTCTTTGAGGAAATCTTTGAGGTTTTCTTTGAATGATGATTTGCCTTTCTTATTTTGATGTTTGAGAATTCTTTTGCAGTGTTTTGTAGGGTTGAGTCAATATGATGGAGAAAGAATGCAGATAGGAAGGAACTTTGATTTTGGAGTCGTATGTACAAACAGTTTGCAGAGATAAAGAGAGAGAGACGGAAGAGTGGCGGGTTGGATAGGACTGTGATATGGGTTAGGAAACATAGAGATGGAGAGAGAGGGAGCCGAGGTAACAAGGAAAAAGCAAGAGAGAGAGAGACTGAAAGAATGTATAGGAGAGAGAATTCTGCTACGCTTTATTTTTATTTTTTCACGCACCCTAGTCGTACGCTTTATTTTTATTTTTTCACGCACCCTAGTCGCCACGTCACTTGCATTTCACCGGGATAAGGTGCGGGTAGTTTTGTGTTATAAAAATGTAAGTTTAGACGTTTTAAGTGACAGATTTAAGATGAAATACCATAAAGTGATACCCTCGTCAATTGAGAGATCCTGAGTAAAAAACAGTCGTGCATAATGTCAACAAAATTATATTCAGTCCAAGTGTAATATATATGTCGTTAAAATTTTGGATTTCACACCTAAGTCTAATCATTCATTAAATCAATTCAAGACTTTCAAATTCTAAATCCAGTCACTCAAAAAGTTTTGAGTTTCACATATAAGTCTAATCATTCATTAAATCATTGGTTCAAAACCTTTTAGATTATTTATTTAAAGAGTTTGGACTTTATATATAAGTTTGGCTAAACCAATAGTTCAGGACTTTTTAGATTTTAATCCGAGACCTTATGTCTATAAAGTTTTGTGTTCCATGCTAGGTTTCAAACTTTTCCTTTTCTACTTTTTTTTTTTTCAATTTGAAATTAACATTGGATTGAAACTGCCGTCAAAACCTTTAAGGTTGATTATAAGTTGAACTAATATCTTCTGTTTTTGTCTAGTTTAAAATCGTAATTTTCGAACATATTTAGATTCGAATGTTTCTGAAATTGATTATCACCCAAATTAGAACCATAAATAGGTCTTTCTAAACTTGAAATATTAAATTTTAAGAGGGAACTTATACGTTTGACCTTCCAAGATATACGTACATACCTGAACTACTGGATAGATGAGATTAGCAAGTTGGATTGACAGTTTTATCCAAACACCTCTCTTCCCCTAATAAAAACACAACAAAATAATAATGATTTAATGAGTACATGACAAACTATTACTCTATCTATCCATAAATATAAATCGTTTAAGATTTTTTTTTATATCCTATCTATCCATAAGATATATATTTCGTTTTAAGAAGATTTTTTTTTTAAACTGAAATTAGAACAAGGAATGTAATTTCCTTAGCATTATAGACAAAAAGAGGGTTCATTAATTGTTAACTTAATTACTCTTTAGCCTTCTCATCATTAGTAAGTTATATGCTTAATACATATAATGTAAATTAGAAAAAAAATTCATTCATACTGTCTTTTAATGTGTTCTCTAAACTTATTATTTTGTGGGGGCAAGAAAAAAAAAAAAAAGAAGTCTAGAATGTGGTCGATAATATTATATTTAATTGGAGGCGAATTCACAAAACAGTGTCCGATATATGACATTTATCTGTTGCTCATTGTGAAAGGGAAGCTCTTAAGTAAAGGAACAAATAAGTGTCGGCGTCCATAATCTTTGGCTTCATTTCTACAACAACTCCATCAGTATAAATCATCAACTGCACAAAAATGTCGGCGTCCATATGCTGCTTCATTTCTACAACAACTCCATCATATAAATCATCAACTGCATCAAGCAATCCAACCTGCTCAATTTCACTGTCAGGAACCATCTGATCCTTCGAAGGCATTCTACTTGTGATGGCTAGCACGTTGATATAATACTGCAACCTGGAGGAACGAGCCAAAAAAAAGAAGATTCCTTTATTTTTTTTCTTTAAAGCATTTTCTGTAAGTAGAAAGCATCTTATTCTTATCTCAAAGGAAATTTCCGAGCACAACCAGCCAACATTACAACTGGTCCTGCCATTTGGAATTTCTGCTTCTAGAAAAAAACTAAGAACTTTGTCTGAAACTCCAAATTTGGAAAAGAGAATCTAATACATTGTAGGATAGTCTTGGTTTTTCCTTGGGACATTTTATCAAATAAATAAAGGGCAAGACTCAAACTATACATATATACTTACCTTCCTTTTCAAAAATCAGAAAAAAGAAAATGGTGCAGCTCCAGGAATAGGATTGTTGGAAAGTGGTGAACTTGCATAAGAATACCAAAGATTTTGTTGGTTCTCAATATGTGATTCTTTATTTAATAGAGAGATAATCTCTATGCATGTACAAATGAATTTTCCTTCGGATTAATAAAGAAGAGTTTGGTTTTGACAGTTTCAGTTAATATAATCAGCATATGACTGCAAAATGAACCTAAATAAAAACAAAATGAAAAGTCCATCAACTTTGGAAGTACAGAATTGAATTGACCAATTCAAATCTTTGCAATGCGGCGTTGAAGTCAATGACTCAACCGCTGCTCTTCAGAATAAACAATTGATGAAAACTGCTAATAAGAGGGTGAAGATTAATCTGTTCAAATGGTTGGTAAACAAATTAACATGTTTCTCTTGATTAATTTAGCACATAGAATGTGTGGTTGGCGGGAAAGTTATCATCTCCTCTTTGCTCACGCAGTTGAATTGTTGAAGAAAATATAATAAATGTGACGGTAGCTTATATTTATACATTTTTCCAAATTAATTAATTAACAAGTAGAATAAACATTTTTTTATTTAAAAGTTATTTTTATTTAAATGTTAAAATTTCAATTAAGATAGTCAATCGATATATTTCTCTCAAGTCAATCTCATTATGAGAGCGAGCAGAAATTAGTTAATTTTGTGATTCATTAAAACGGATACGGATCTAGCTACTTCGTGTAAGTATAAAAAAAATCAATATATGTATAGATTAATTAGTTCTAGACATTTGACCTTATTAAGACTTTTATTTTAAAAATTGATTTACCACATCTTATCATTTAATTTTTTGAACTATTTCTAGACTTAATTTAATACACTCAGATTGATATAATTGAATTTAAAATGTAAAATTCATTTATATATAAATTTTTCATGTTGGCAATAAATTTAAAATTGAAAATTCATTTACTTTTATTTTCTAAAATACCTTTAAAAGGCTAAAAAGATAAATAGTTGCATTAAATTTAAAAATTGAAAAGTTCATTTACTTTATTTTTGCTAAAAAATACGCTTTAAAAGGCTAAAAAGATAAATAGTTTTGTGACGTAAAATTTTATGAATTATTCTATCCATTTACATTTACCAGATATGAGTAATTTGAAGTTTGGTGGAATAAGAAAAAATTAAAT